GATATTTATCCACGTTCGAGATCTTGCCAAATCCTTTTCAACAAGTTGATCCAATGCTGGAGAAGACTGATACGCAGGGAGGTTCCAGTCAACACGTTTCATCACCTCATTAACCGTAATTTTTGTTGCTTGAACTGTTTGGCAAATGATCGCCATGGGAGCAACTGAATTAACTCTGGCATAACTCTCCAAAAGACCTCATTGATATAGTCTAGAGAAGCATATGATCACCACAGGATTGGTTAGGCAATACCTCCACTTCGTCGAAACAAGGACGGTTCAAGAAGTTGGTCTGATGAATGGCACTTTATTGAAAGTATATCACAATTTATACCGGAACCTTCCAACACTGCCCTCATATACTTGCACATGAGATCATGGTCATTCATCATATATAGAGTCCACGGTCGGCCCACGACAAGACACTCAAAAAAAGCAAGGCACAACACGGCACGAAAATATACAGACCGTGCCATGGGCTTTATAAAAAACATATCTGCATGGCATGACTCCAACAAAATAAAAAAAAATGTGATGTTATAGATATATTTAAAGATTTTAAGAATGTAAAAATTAATAAAAAAAGATATATAATAATTTTTAATCCTTAATTTTAAGTTTGTATTTGTTATTTATAGGTAATAAAAAGTGTTAAAATTTTAATATCTCATTATTTTATTATATTTCATAATGATTATATTTTTTTTAATTAATATAAATACAAAATATCACTGAATATAAAATATTTTTATAATAAATTAAAATTATCATAATTTATAAATATTAAAATTAAATATTTTTACAAAGCGCGTGATCGGCCCATGAACCACTTTGCCAAGTCTAGTCATGAGTCATGCAATGCTAAGGCCCGCAAAAATTCGTGTCCTATCGTGCCGTGTCGACCTACCGAATGTGCAGGCTCAAGGCACGACACGAAATGTAGCAGGCTGTGCCTTGGGCCTTCACATTTGGTGGGTTGACACAACACGGTAGGACACGAATTTTTGCGAGCCTTAGCATGGCATGACCCATGACTAGACTTGGCAAAGTGGTACCCGCACCCGCTGGTTCATGGATACCCGGTCCAAACAAGTGGGTACAGGTAACAGTATAAATTACCCATATGAAGTTTATCCGACCCGCCCATAAAACGCGGGTGGGCCGGGTAATGCCTGCGGATACCCATATTTTAATTTAAAAAAAAAAAAACGTAAATTAAAAAAATTGCAAAAGCAAAACCCTAAGCCTGAAGTGAACAAAAAAATTCGACTAGAACTCTCTCTCAGACTCTCACGCCGATGATGACTGAAACTCTCTCACTCTCAAAGACTCAAACTGAAACTCTCTCACTCTCAGGCTGAATCTCACAAATCACAATCTCTCAAACTGAAACTCTCTCACTTTCAGGTTGAATCTCACAATCTTTGAAACTGAAACTCTTTCACTCTCACGCCGACGACGCAAAGCAGCTCTGAATCTCACAATCTCTCTCACGCTGTCGCCGCCTCAAGTTTTCTTATACTTTCTCAAGTTTCCATCTTTTTGATGGCTGAAGAGAGATGGAGACAAGCAATGGCGAGAAGAGACCCACAATTCATCACCTCAGTGCCTCCATAGATGATCTCGACTTTGAAAGTGAAATCAACAACTCGGAATATTCTACTTACCAAGTTCACATATCGGCGATATCGCCAACTTCAGATAACCAGCTCTATCCTTGGAGTTATCGTCACAAAAATTCAATACTAATTTGGAAGGAAGGGAAGACCAATATATGTCTAGTTCTTTGTTTGCTGGTGGTCATAATCTAAGAGTAACAATTTATTAAATTATTGTATATTTTAGTGGGTCCTTTGTTTAATTAATACAATATAAATTTTACGTCTGAAAAATGAATAACAAAAGTTAGAAAAAAAAAATATATAAAAAAATTCATTTTTTTGTGGGTGACCGGTGGGTCCACCGATACTCATAGGGGTGGGAACAGGTCATACATATTTCACCCCGTTCCAAAATTTTACCCGGCCTGCCCGTTTCTACTCATGACACGATAGACCTTAAATTTTTAAGTACGGCACGGTTTACTGTCACCTCTAATCGTATACTTCCCACTTTCTATAGAAATTTAATTAATTTCTTTAAATTTTCTTTCAATCAAAGCAAACGTCATCACCAGTACACCAACCATCCCAACAATATATCTCCGTTTCTTTCCAAAACCCAGTTCATCACAATTTTTCTTTCCAGAGATTTGTCTAATTTCAAACTCTATTAAGTATTAACAGTTAACACCAACTCAAATTTACTAATCAAATTTATTTATCGGTTAGTAACAACAATCTTCTTTAAGTATAATATGGTTAGAGAAATAACAAAAATCCCCCTATCATTAATTTTTTTTGGTGTTAAAACAAATGACATAGGGGCAATTAAGTATTTATTCATGTATCATGTTATAAACTTTAACGATACACTAACAATAAAAGGATTTTTGTTATTTCTGAAATCTTAGAAGGACTTTGTTATTTAAGTAAACCTCAGGGGGGTCGAGAAAAAGCCCCTTTATTTAATTCAGAACTAGAAAAAAAATGGTGGAAAAAAAAAATTAAACTTGTGGGGTATCACAACAGAAACGTAAACCTCAAGGGAGGTGAGGGATAATAACCCTAAAATAAGAGATTCAATAAGACGAAAAAAAAACATTTGGGGCATTCCGAGAATTGAACTCGGGACCTCTCGCACCCTAAGCGAGAATCATACCACTAGACCAAATGCCCACTTTGTTAAATTTTCTGAACTAACATTTTAATAGTATAATATTTCGGTATCAAGTACAACAGGTTATTCTTATAGGCACCCACAAAACTTTAAAACTTAAAATTATAAACCCTATATCTGCGAGATTTTTGATACTTTCCACTCTTCAAGGGCGAAAATACTACGTTTCAAAACATTGTAAGCGCATAGTAATTATTTACCATCTTCCAAGGTTGGATATAAAACAACCCCAGGGCCAGGTACAACACACTGACACGCCACAATACGTCAATACCACATCCACATGCACACTGTAAAGAAAGCAATTTCTTGTTATTATTTTATTAAATTGGAAAGGTTTAGTAGACATCACATCACTTTCCGAATTTCTCAATTTTCCCTCCAAAAACCACCGCCAATTTCACTCAATCTTGTCAACCCTAGCCCTAACCCAAACACTGCTTCCTTCTTATGTCTTAATCAGGATTTGAACTAGATTTGTTTTCGTATGAATTCAGAATGGGCTCTCTCGGCGACGATGATGCTAAAAATCAACCAATCAAAACGAACCCTAATGTCGATTTTCCCCATACTCAAATGCAGGCCTTTGATTCCCGGTTTACACCTCCTCCATCGCCTGGTAATGGTTCTAAATCTTAGAGTTTCTGTCATTTTTTGCAAAAAGTTTAGTACTTTTTAATTTTTAAATTAATAGGGTTAATTTTACATTTTCGTATAGTATAACTGTACATTTTCACGGTGTGTGTCCCAGTAGTTTTTATTTAAATTAATTTGTAGGTTTTTTAAGAAGTTTTCAACATATTAGCTTGTCAGGGCAGTGGTGGATGATTGTTATCAGGTTAACCTGTATTTTTTTTAAGAGTTTTTGATTACTTAGCAATGCAAAATGCAAATTTGAAATGATTTTTTTTGTTTTGTTGAATTCTTCTGTTCTGGGTGATAAAATAGTTTAATTGTTCTTTCTTCAATTAGGTGTCAGAGTTGAAGAATATGATGATAATAAGTTGCAGTTTGATGATACTGTTCCGGTTGAAGATGCTTGTGAAACTCAAGCACTGAATTTTGCTGGTGAAACTCAAGCACTGAATTTTGATGATGAACCCCTAACATTTAACTTTGGTGATGAAGCTCAAGGATTTAATTTTGGTGATGAAACTCGAGCTTTGAATTTTGATGATGAACACCAAGCATTGAATTTCGGCGATGAAACTCAAGTATTGGATTTTGGTGGCGAAACACAAGTACTGGATTGTTTAGATGGTGTTGAAAATTTAGGAACACAATTGTTGGATGTGTTTGATAACAAAGTTGCTGATGATAGCGACATTGAAGGATCTGATAGAACTGAAGTTTTGGGTTTTGGTGATGATATCTCTGATGATGATTCAGCTAGAAGATGGAGTGATCAGTGGCTAGAGAAAGAGAAGGTGTGTACCTCTTCTGCTTCAGAAGAAGGTGAGAAAGTTTCAAGAGAAGGACCCGATTCTTTGAATGGAGAACCCTGTAATTCAGGTGATTTTTTTCTAGATTTCTTTGCATTAATGGGATTTTGGGTATTTATCTTTAAGAATATCTCCATGCCTGAGGTGAACCTTGATTAGTAATCTTTATTTTTCTGGTTCATTTTCTGTTGTGAGAAAAAGGGAGTGAATGAATTTTATATCATATGTAATCAATTTGATAGTCAATTTTTCTTTTTCTGTTCTTATTTTCTTCTTAGCATTGGATGTCAATTCTTTTTTTGTCACTGTGTGGTTTTTTCTTGTATTGGTTCATCTGTAAAAGCTCGGGAATTAAACTAATATTTTACTTGTCACTTGGGGGTTTTACATGAAATAAAATTATTATTAGCCTCTAACCAAAGTTGGGATTTCTATTCATGTCATTCAGGGCCCCAAGTTTCTACAACTCCAGTGACTCCAGTGACTCAAGGCACTCTACCAGGAACTGGTATGTGCCCTGAAATGTGCTTTACTTTAATTTATAGTTTTGTTGGAATTCCTTGTCAAAACTAGGTCTAATAGAATTTGGCTAAATTAATTGTTCATTATGTCTATAGTCACTGGTCAATTTTATAAAAGTATTGTGTTTCTGATGTGTTGAAACTTTTTGTGTGTTTTTGCTTGTATATGTGGTTGCTAATCACATGTATTCTTTTCAGATTTTGCATTGTTTAAGTATTACAGATATATTAAATTTACAGGTCAATATAGACTGACTTCCTGAATTTATTATTTGTTGGCAATGAAATTTTTTGTCAAGACTATATTAGGAATATTAAGTAGGGTATATTCTGCAGTAACAGCTACACTTTTCTTGAGTTTTGTCAATCTAAATTAATTATATGCTAAAAGAAACAACTGATGTTCCTCAATTGGCTTTTGCTTTTAAGTTTTAAATTCAGTTTCATATTGTTATGCTTTCCTTTGGTTTTCAAATATTGCTTTGTGTCATGCTTTTTATGTTTATTTTCATTTGTTTATCTTTCTTTTTAACCTTTTTCTTAGTTCTTAATAAGAATCTATTTTATGTTGTATGAAACTTTTGCTAGCCATGTGCAGTCTGCTTTGAATGCTATATTGATCTTAAGTTTCCAGTGATTAATCTTTTGTTTGCTCAGGATCTGTGCCAAGGTTTACTTCAATTCGTGTGGCATCTTTGCGTGCTTCTGGTCTAGCAGCCCGGAGTTTGTATTTGAAGGAAGCCAACTGCAATTCTTGTTCTGCCCAGACTAATGGTGTGTTTTCAGATCAAGATGACACTAGAAATACTTGGGCAGATCCAAAAGTCATCGATAAAATTGATCAGGTACATGATTCTGAGAAAGACAATGAGAAAGGGAAGGGATTAAGGAACGGAAACAAGTGCAGACTTGGTTCTTTAACTGCGAGAAAACTCTTTACTGAGGATTCACTTTCTGAAAATGAAGGACTTCCTTGCAACAGTGAGAACACTGATGGAGGAGAAAACCAATTGCAGTTGCCTGTTTGTGATGTAGGGTTGGCTGGGTTAAGCTATATTGACTCTCAAGAACCTGGAGAATTGTCACAAACCAATGCCCTCAAATTTGTGGAAATGTATATTGAGAAGAGTAATTTTGTTAAGTCTGATCATGAAATGGACGGTGGAAAGAGTACCAGTGGGAAATCAAAACCTCTTCCAATTGCAAAAGGGCCACAAAGTTTGGCCAAGAAAGTCAATAATAGAATCACAGTTGGAGAAAAAGGGATTTTTGACTGGGATGATAACCAAGAGGATGAAGGAGGGGGAGATATTTTCTGCAGAAGGAAGGAAGAATTCTTTGGTAGTGGAAACCATGTGCTCAGATCTTTAACTGAACCCCAGAAACCCCAAAATATGCAATTGGATGTGTGCAGAGAGAAGGAAAAACAGCTAGATGTGCATGATAAAATCACAGTACGCTCTGATTCAAGATTAATTTTGCACAATATGAAAGAGAATAAAAAGAAGGCACAAGAAGGTGAAATTAAATTTAAGAAGAATCTTGCTTTTGAGTTTGATGAACAGTTTGATACAGATTCCTCAAGAGGACAAATGGAAGACATTGTTAGTAAGACAGATGGGCCAGAGATGTTAAATGTTGGTCCTGACACTCAAATGGCTGCTGAAGCCATGGAAGCCTTATTCTTTGGGGAGGTAAGTGCTAACCATGATGCTACGGATCTACAAAGCAATTCTAATGGCCCTACTGAGGGTTCTTTGGAAGGAAAATCTACAAATAAGGTCCGCTCATCCAGAAAAAATGTACGTGTTTCAGATGTTGGAGTAGCTACAAGACTATCCAAGAAAATAAAGAGAAATGGCAAAAGATTAAGTGAAGACTCTCCAGTTCCATCAGCGAAACCTTCTGAGAATATAAGAAAGAAATCTGCCTTGCCAGTTATAACAAATAAACGGAAGAGGGCCAAGTCAACCGCTGAAGGTCACGTCAGTATCAGTGGAACCAAAAACATGGTCATGATGCCTTCTAAGATTATTGGGCAAAGAAAGTTGGAGGTGGGTTCCAAAAGCAGCCATTGCAAGGAGTTCAATAGATCACTTGAGAAAACTGTAATAAGAAGTGGTCGCTCAATCAATCAACTGAATTTACCCAAGGAAGTTAGTACTTATGCGCCCATTGCTTATCGAACCAGGCATTCCAAGTCAGTAAATAAATCAAAAACGCCTGAGCATGTCCCTGGTGATTGTAGAGAAGACATTAACCATCTGGAAGTTGGTGCTGTTGAAGGGAATGGAGTTGATACTGCAGATGTTGAAGCTTCTGAAGTGTTGCATGCCAAAAGGAAATCTTCTAAATTGGGTATCAATCAATCTGGAGATATTAAAAGGGCCAAACCAAGTCAACCTGATCAATTGTATTCAGAGTTAACAGCTATGAATAATGGAATTGATACATCGACTCATCCTAAAGGAAGAAGATCTCAACGAAGCTCTTCAGGACAGGTTAATGGATTTAATAAGTTAGATGATCAATTCAAGCCATCTATTCTGCCAGAAGGCATCAACCAGTTTATCTCTGTGCATAAAAGATCACGAAGCAATGCTGGAAACAATAGCATTAGTTTAACCACAGAGAGGAAAACAAGATCATCTGTACGTGCTTGTGCCTGTAATTCTACGGACATGAAAGGGAAGATATCTATAGATTTAATGGCTGTGAAAGAACTGCAGCACCCTGACAGAAAGAGTGTTGCATATTCCTTGACAGTCGCTGAAAATGCAGAAGTGAATGACAAGATATATAGATCTCCGGGAGAGAAAAGTGAAGCATCTGATGCAGCATGTCCTTCTCCAGCTAACTGTATGACACCTGTGAATGCTGCATCTCCTGTTTGTATGGGTAATGAATATCTTAAGCAATCATGTAAGAAAAACCTGTCAAAGTCATGCCTTATGAGGGAAATCAGTAGCTTAAGTCCCACAGAACCAGAACCTATTTCTCCATTGAAAGATTTGAGGAAGAGGAGAGATATGAGTAGCATTCGAGTCTTGTTCAGCCATCACTTGGACGAGGATATTATTAAGCGGCAGAAAAAGGTATTTACTAGTGATTTCATCAGATCCTTGTTTAGCATAGACAAACTGTTTTAGTTAATATCTTGACTTCACAGATTTTGGCTCGCTTAGGAGCTTCTGAAGCAATTTCAATTACGGATGCAACACACTTCATAACAGATCAATTTGTGCGCACAAGAAATATGTTAGAAGCAATTGCTTCTGGCAAACCAGTGGTGACACATTTATGGCTTAAGAGCATTGGACAAGTTAAGGTCCACGTTGATGAAGAAGCCTACCTGCTTCGGGACACCAAAAAAGAAAAGGAGTTTGGCTTTAGCATGCCAGTTACTTTGGCACGTGCACACAAGCTTCCACTCTTACAAGTAAAGTCTTAAATTAATGTTGGTTGTCTTGTTGTAACGGTTATAATTCCCTTTCTTCTCCCTCATTCATTATAATGATATTTATGCAGGGTCGAAGAGTTTTTATTACCCCACATATAAAACCTAGTAAAGAAACAATTTCTGGTTTGGTTAAGGCAGTCCATGGTCAGGTATGTTGTTGTCCAGACTATTTTTTTCTAATATGTTCAACTATCAGCAAGTTTGTTTCGTTCTCTTTTTTTGAAGTTATTTCTCAAGGTATTCCTCACTTCCCCCCGTCTTTGATGCTTATATTCAGCTGAAACTGTTTTTCAGGTAGTGGAGAGAATAGGAAGATCTGCTGATGGTGTGTTGATTTTATCCTGTGAAGAAGATTACAGAATCTGTGAGCCTTTCCTTGAAAAAGGTTAGGAATATATACTTAAATGTCACTATCAATCAACATAATTTGGGTTTCTTTAGGAGTTTTTCACCATCTCTTCTTGCTTGCAGGGGCAGCTGTTTACAGTTCAGAGCTTCTACTGAATGGCATTGTTATTCAGAAGCTGGAGTATGAAAGGTATTCTGATTTTATTATTCATATGTCAAGTAAGCATATTCATGATAAAAGGGTTTCCATTAATGGTAGGAGAATTTTATCGTAAGCTTGTCCATGTATCTCAAGCGCTGAACAAATAAGAATAGCAATGAAATAATAACACCTTTCATGCCGTTGGGAGTTCTTCATGGTTCCCTAATTACATTGATTTTTGACTGTTCTCACAAGTGTTTCCTTGTCAGGTTTTAAAAATGGCTGTTAACCATTAAAACATACACCCATGTCAAATATGTTTTAGCTCGTTTCTTTCCTAACATTTATTTTGAATAATTTGTAATGACAGGCATCGTCTGTTTACGGATCATGTTAAGAGAACACGGTCAACAATGTGGCTGAAATAAGATGCCTTAAGTTTCATCCTGTGACAAAGCTTAAATAGGAGGGACATATTTCTTAACCCTTCATCCAATTTTCATCCTCTTTCGCTTCTTCTATGAATGAGATAGGCCTGTAGGTATCTGTACATATTCTGTACCTCCAACGAATTTTGTGCTGTTAGGTTTGTAGGTATCTGTACATATCATGGCTTTCTGAAGGTCAGTTCCTTGTTCAAAAATGCTTAGGTTGTATATCACGCTTTCTTTCTTCTTTGTTTATATATATTTTTTGTTTTTCCGAAGTATAACCAGATACTTTGTTAGGTTCTTTTTCTTGGTTTAGTGAAAACAGTTTTCTGTTGGGGGCTTACCACAGTTTTCAGGATTCAAAAAGCATTGCGTCAAAGGTAGTTGGTCATGCCTTTTAACATTCACAGAAAACGAATCAATTTTTTTTGCATTCAAGAATAGAAACAGAAACAAGACTGATTTTCTGTGTGGCCACTCGTTATGAAAAAGAAAACGAACCACAGCTGCAGTGAAACAGCTGAAAAATTGGTATGAACTCATATAGATGCTCAGAATTTGAGTGACTGCCCCATATTTACCCCCTAACCATTCTCTTCGTTGCCATGAAGTTATTTGAAGTAGAAATACTTAACAATGTTACTAAATATTTTTCACGGCTTGGGTTGATTTTCCTCGTGCTAACAAATTTGCAAATGCCAACCTCATCAGTAAATAAACAGCCCAAAATTGCATGACACTGTTTCCCTCTGGTATTTAGTCATGCTGGGCTAGAATTCTCGGAAACTCGAACACGCCAAGCAAAATATTGGATATATAATGAGTTGAGGCTCATAGCTGTGCCGAAACCGAAAACTGATGAAAGCAGTATCGAGTAAATGGCCTTGAGATGAAGCTGCGAAGAACATTCAAAGAAGCTATTGTTATTATCAAACTGATAAAAAGCAGTGTCGCGGAGGTAGCATAGCATTACTTACAATAGAATAGAAGAAGTGGACAAGTATGGCCACTAGAGCAAACTCAAGAGCCGCATAAGTCCATATATACTCCCTGATTGCTGCAAGTCAAGAAAACCAATATTAAAAACACAATAACTTGTAAAGAAACTTGTAAAATTTGAGACTCGGCTGTACCTAAAATGACTGCACAGATTGATGATAAAAGGCCCAAGGTAAGTGCAAATGGTGCTGAAAGTACAATTGCTTGAGTCTTCAAGTCATGTATCTACAAAATTATAAAGCAAATAGGAGTTAAAATTGCCACACCAATGTTAGACACACTCAAATGAATATTATGCATCCCTGATGAATTTATGACAAAATACAACCAATTTTAAGCACGAAGTGAACCTAATAATGAGAAAGCACAAAGAATCTTCGAAAATGGCATACCAGCAGCTGCTCAAGGAAGAAGAAATAACAGATTGTGCTAATTAAGACAAGCACCACAAAGTCTTGCCAGGCACTGCGTAAGTAGATTATTAATCAAAATTAGCAAGATAAAAATGGGTCAGCTCCAAATCAACTTTATGTTTATTAAAGAAAAACCGAAACAAACATATATTTGTCATACTTGATAGAAAAGCAAATCTGCAATACTATGAGTAACCCATTAGCTGAAACAAAGATTGCTCAAATTAATGTTGACAAGAATGCCTGATTAACTGAGGAACTTGGTCTCAAGTCAATCCTTCAAGTGTTTCAGTTTATCATTGGACCATGCTTAAAGGTACGAAAATTATATATAAAACTGCATTGCCCATAGTATACTACCTTACTGATTGTGAATGTAAAGCCTGTTGATTACGGTCCTGCCTATTGTCCCTTTGAGCAGAGCTTGACACCCGAAGCAACGTTACAGGTAAGTTTTGCACCACTTGCCCACAGACATCACAGTTTTTGTTTCCTTTTGTGGTAAACCATTTAATTGCACATTCTTCATGGACAAGTCTAAGGGCACCTTTGCAACTGCATTCCATTTTGAGAGTATTTCCTTCCTCACATACATCAAGACAGATGCGGCACACAGCTTCCTCTTCAGCAATCTCCTCATCACTGTCTTCTGTGGGAGCAGGAATTATTTGATCTGCTTCACCGAGAAGCAAAATTACAAGAAGAAACATAGAATTAAAGTGCAAGAAGAAAGGATGATTAAGGACATGCAGTTCTTTCACTCTGCTGATTGGAACTTAGACATACAATTCCAGCATAGGTTGATCAAATCAGAACAAGAGTGGACGAAGTCTCAATCATTTTGAGTACACAGAAAAGCTTGGCTAGAGAGCTTAAATACGAATTATCTACTCCAAGTGTACAACCAAATCTTATATCTGACATCTTGCATGCTCTCATACATATAGGTTTTATTACAGGCATAGAACCATTTGACTGAATTCAACCACACAAATTGAGACAAGATATAATCTAAAGCATAAGGAACTTCAAGAACCAAGGTAAAATCAACTTCTGACTCCCTTTGTTGAAAGATGGCACAGGTCAGACAACTTATTGGCCGAATGAATACAAGGAACTACATTAACTAGAATAAAAGGAGTGTGAGAGCCACTACATACCATCTTTAGTATCTGTCATGTCATGCTCTTTAGGGGTTGGAAAAGATACGGATCTCACAATAATGACATTTCTTCCAGGTACAGACAGGGACCTTGAAACTACGGCAGGTGCTGCCCCTTTCTGCACAAAATTGACACTAACCATCTTAAAAATAATCTTCATCATTAAGTTCTCCACATACTGACTATGAATACAAATATTAAAAAATAATAATAAATAAAGAAAAAAAAAGCCCATAAAAAAGGCACTGAAAGGTTAAAATCACCATCCTAGCCCACATTATTCAATAAACTCATCTTAATAGCTGTAGAAGAAACAAAAAAAGAGGTTCCACCCCATGATTTTTATTTTTTATTTTTTTTATTTATTTTTTTTTCTAATTTCCCAAAAGTTGATACAGGAATATATGACCTTGTTTTGCTGAACCATCAAATGAATAATGTGTAAACACACATCCTGTTTTCTTGAGAAAGCTTTTTAAAAGAAAAATATAACATTTATATTCAAAGAATCAATTATCCTGGACCAAATAATTAGTGAAATCTCATAAGACCTTGCATGGATTAACTTTTCTATAGCCCCAAAGAAAACAAGATTTTAATTTGGGAGTTCATAAAGCAAATAACTTACATTTGATTTCTGCTGTTCACGAGATGTTCTTGCTGAAGCAGGCAAAGAAACCGAGGGGGACAAGTTTGATGCAGGTGTAACAGGAAGAGATGTACATCTTTCCCCAGAAAATGCAGATGAAATATTGGCTACAATAGGACTTTCCAAGGCTGTCTGAGAGTCAGTACCGAGGAGGGAGCTTCTTTCGCCTTCAGGTACAAGACCTTTCTTCTTAAAGCTTAAACCCCGCAAGAAACCTCCAGGTGATAAACTACCTTTAATTGAACCTTGAGACTGGAGTGGTAACTTTCCACTTCTGCTACTACCAAAACCTATTGGCCTAGGGGGTATTTGAAGTGAAAGATCGGAGCGCTTTGCACTTGGTGCTGTATTTGAAAATTTATCATTTGAGGGGGCCTCGATTTGGATATCAACCTGCATGTAACAAACATTACAATACAATCTCAAGTCATTTAGGATATAAATTCCCATAGTATGTTATGCCAGAACAAATTCTATTACAGTATGCTGGTTGCAAATCAGGCAAAACATGATCCATGAGATGCAAACTATTATTTCATAATCCAGCTTAGGATGTAAGAATGATTCACTACTCAGTCATCTGCAAGCTCCTTCTAAACAACTTACACAGTTTCCCTTTCCTTCATCTTGTTCTTCTCAAGATTCTAGTTGAAGCTAATGTTTCAATAATTGTTAAACAGAACAGCACTAGAGAAAAATAAAGCCACGGGAACGCTAATTACACTGTAAATAAGTGTATTGCTCGTTATTTTCTTCGCCTTCTTATAATGCTTAAGTCATAACAAAATCTCATGGTCTAAATACGGTAGTTAGAACAACCAACAAGCCAAAAGCAGATCTTTGAGCATACAATTTATTATTCTGTTGAAAACACATGTTGGAATTGATCATGTCAGACAAAAGTTGACCACAGTTGACTTGGAAAGGTGGACTAACCAAACCCATCACAGAACTTGAAGAACCAAACCTATACCCATTAATTGACGAAAAAAAATTATAAGCAAAATTTTCAAACCAGATCGGTGTATTAACCTATGTCGAAACATGATCATTTCTTACTAATTTTAATCCAAGCGAAACTAAATTTAAGGTGATAACGGTTCAATTGTGCCAAACACTGAAATCCCCACTCAGAATTCCCAGAATTTGCCTAGCCAAGCACTTGTAAAATACTTAAAAAAATGATCCCTCCTCACACAGAGAGAGAAATTACTACATATATTTCACTGAACTTGTAAAATACTTGCACATAAACCAAAAAAAAAAAAAGGATTCCTGGCTATATCTCCAACAAACCTATCAAAACTAAAGATCAAAAACATCATAGACTGAATAGCATTCAGATACACTTATCTACAAAAGAAAACAAATAATTTACCGTAAGAAGCATGAATCAATTCCAACCCAGTATTACTGACACCATCTATTAACATAAAAGCACAAAACTAGAAACTACTAAACCATCTTTCAGCTGTAAATGCAAAGAAAAACCCGATCTTTGGAAGATAAAACAATTAAAAAACACATGCATACACATAGGTAAATCTAACAGTAAAAACACATAAATGCAGGTAGTTAAAAAAAATAAAAATAAAGACCAACCTGGGCAGAAACCTCATTATTTTCATGAGTGAGTGGAGGTTGAGTTGAGTGCATTATATTGTGTACAATTAGTCTCCCAAGAAGAATAAACAGTTTAGAATAATAAAGTGGAGAAAGAAAGAAAGAAGATGAAGAAGAAGAAAGCCCGACAAAGATACAAAAAACAAATAAATATATATAGAAACACCGTACTGTAGTTCTTGTGTTGTGTTACGGTAATAAAATAATAGAAATTGATTTATTTTTACAGGGAGCTTGAGTAATAGGATAAAAATAAAAGAAAACAGGAGAGTGTGGAAAGGACAAGGCGGCTTGGTTGTGGTGGAGAAGTCATGTTGATTTTGAAAAAGAATATGGGAATGGGAATTTCGTCTTCTTGCCGCAATCAAACAGTTTTGTAAAAGCTTTCCTACTTTCCCAACCTTTTCGTACCTCTTACTCGCCTCTGCTTTCTTCCCAAACTCCCAACTTTCTGTTTCTCATTTTCATCCATTTGTTGCTTTCCATTATTCCCGTATAAATATACCTCTCCCTCTCCCATTTTCGACTAAAAATCATTCAATTGTCGAACTGACAGTATAAAAAATCATCTTTTTTAATATGTAAGATAGTTCTTCTAAATTACTTGGTAGGTAATTTCTAAAAACTAGTCATACCAATCAAGAACAAAACTTTTCATATGTTTTAATTTTAAATACATTAAAAAAATATATTGCTTTGACAATTAGAGTACTTAAGTACACCTATAAAGTGCTTCTGATTTCTAACAAACATTTAATATTGTCTTAAGGTGGGGAGGAAAAAAAAAAAAATGAAAGCTTAAGTAAAAGCATTTTCAAGTGCAAAATTTGTATATTATCGTCCACAAAGAGTGGTGGCAATTTTATGAAGTTATAAAGAAAGTAGAAAGTGGGTCAATCTTAGTTCATGTGTAGGTCCACGTCCATTACTCAAAACCAAGAAGATTTCTTAGTTGGAGATGAACCAACCAGGCAATCAAACCTCAACTTCACATGCCAAGATTTGAACCTTCCACCTCTTTCACATTCTTAGGATGCTTTTCTCACGCGTATATAAATTCTAACACCATATCATTACTTGAAGCTTTTTTTTTTTTTTTTTTTTTATCATAATTTATTTACATTATATGTTTAGTATATGAATGATGAGATTATTGATTCAGATTTTCATATTTTAATTTAATATTGGTTGGAATATCAAATTCAAATATAAATTTCATCAATAATCTATATCCGTCTTAAGTGACATGGGATAGTTATTGTAAACCCCTAGGTTTGGACAAATCTTTAAACCCCTGTGATATTTTTATCAACTCCGAACACCTTACCGTCAGTCACTTTTCATTAGTTTTAAAAGATGCAAGGGCAATAGAGTAAATGCTCAAAATTTTCATGATTATTACTGATTACAAATAAAAGAAAGAATTAGAAACCCTAAACCTAATCTCACCCTTTCCCCTTGGGGTGGGCAGGTCCGGGGCCTAGACCCAAAATACTTGGAATGAACCTGAAAAACAAGTATTGTTCTGGTTCCCAAGTACTTGAGAAAATCAAATACACCCCTACTAGTTATAAAAATGACAAACAAACCCTTTAACAATTACAAGACACACCATTTATTTACAAAAATTACAAATGCACCCTACATTATGTCTACAAAAATTACAAATGTCACTGTCATCTTAGGCCAAATCGGCTTGCTTCCGACGTCATCGACCACCTTCGACACCACCATCATACTTTTCTCAGTTCCTAGACCAAAACCCTTTTCACCCCCACCCGTTTGCCCCACATTCACTGGCCACCGCCTACTGTTTGGCTTGTGCAATTCAAGCCTTTTCTGGTCGATTCTATCACTGAAAATCACCTTCGTTACCACCAATCTATTCACAGGCATCACCTCTCCTAAAACCCCAATGACCCCGACCTTGGTAGCATGTTGGTCGCCGCCCTCCTCCTAGGTTTTGCTTGAATAATAGATTGGTTTTGGTTTGATTGAAGGTTGTTTGTTGGAATCATTGATTTAAAACTCGGACCAGAGGGCAACCTGTTTTGCTGCTAGGGTCACGGGTCAACCGGTTGGACTAATGATGTCAGCGATAATTTTTTTAAATTACTATTAATCCCTTAAATTTTAATATATTACAAAAATTCCCCTAAAAAAGTTCAAATTAGTTCCTAAAATGTTTATTTATTTCAAAAATGCCCCAAAAAATTACCAATTAATCTCTAAACTTTTGACATATCTCTAAAACACCCTTATAAAATTACAAATTAACCCTTATAATTTTGAAATATTACAAAACCCCTTAAGACCTTAACCGGACAGGAGAAGCTGTCGGGTCCCGGTCGGACCGGCCCGGTCCGGTTTTTAAAATAGAGGTTGGAATTGGTTGTGGATTTGGGTTTTGTGAGTGTTTGTGTGTTTGATTTTTCCGGTCGTTGGCGCTCTCCAACTTCCTCACCTTCTTCATCTTCCAGCCTGCTCACCACCTGCTCGACAAAAGGCCGTAACCACTTGTTGCCCATCAACCCAAATTTTTAGTCGCAATTTCGGTTCTAGTTCTTGAAGTGGTGGAACCGGAATTGGAGTCGAAAACTCAGGTTCCACCAAATTTGGAACTAGAATCGACCTTGTGAGGACTGGTTCTAGGTAGGAACAAGAACCAACACCCTAGGTACTTGTTGGTTTCGGTTCTACCCTAAAATCTTGCTTACCCTTACTTTCCCCTACCTCATCCACCGTCGACGAACCCCCTCTCATCTACCGACATCGAATCTGTACCGAAGCGCACAAACAACCGATTGACACCCCTTTGCAAACCTGTGTGTCAATCCTTTACAACTTGCAAGTCTCACTTGTATATTGTATTTGGCTGAAAAAGCATTGGTCATGTAAGAGTTCTTATCTTCTTGGGACTCCATGGACCAAAATTTTCTTCATTACATGGGCAATACCTATCTGCTTTAGTAGATCATATGAGTGTAGAAAAAGCCTCGGATTTGTTAATGAATTGGCATCTTTTTTCCATTAATTCATATCATTGTTTCATGTGTGGTAATTTCCTATAATTATTAGATAATTTATCGGATTTTCGATAATTTTTTTTTTTTTTATTTGTGTGGTTATGGTGGCGGTGAATTGGATTTTTTTGGTTGTTGTTGTGGTTTGTTTAATTGGGGATTTCCCTTTTGAAAGTTAGAGAATGTTGTGGAAAAAGGGTGGGGTGCTAGGTAGACCTGACAAAATGGACGAGTGGGTTGGGTATGGTCCGGGTCTAAAACGGGTCGATCTAAACGGGTCTAAAACAGATCGATCTAAATGGGTCAAAAATATTGGACCTATGCCCTACCCTATGCGGGTACGGGTGGACCCGCGGGTACCCATACTGTTCATAGAAATTTTCAATTTTGACAGTTACACCCTCAAAATTCTTACCGTTTTCATTTTTTATAATTACACCCCCACAATCAACTACTCCAAATTCAATTCAATTCACCACAATCAACTACTCTAAATTCAATTCAAGTCACCACAATCAACTACTCCAAATTCAATTCAATAAACACAAATACATGGCTACTAACCTAAATGAACAAAGAATATAATGAACAAACAAAACGAAACATTTAATATAATAAAGTTACTCATTAGAAAAATGAAAATCACTTTGTGGACAAAACTTATCATCAGACTCATAACCAAATTCATTAAATTAAAACCCATCATCAAAAGAATCAAACTTAAACCCACTCTTTCAAGATTTAAACAGAATAACAGAAAGGCAAATCTCAAATTTTGATTAAAATGGAGAAATGATGTTCTAATTCAGCTGACACGACTTTTCTTCCTACCAGTTTGAGAAGTATTTCACTCATTTTGAAATTCAATTCATTCCTTCTCAATTCTCCCCCATCATGTCCATTAATAATCATCGAAGATCCCCCAAACTTCATCCCTTCTAACAAAACAAAATTCTAAAATGTCAGATTCCAAATATCTACAGCAAAGACCATGTCACATATTGTACAGAATAAATGGCAACATGATTAGCAATATCCTTATTGTTTGCTTATGTTAATTAAATGAGCAATGCTACAGGTACCGAAGAATGCGTACAGAATTCTTGCACCGAATGACATGGCACCATTATGTTTTCTTAAAAAAAGAAATTCATAATTAATGGGCAGTTAGGATGACGTCACGTCATTCGGTACATGAATTTGGTGCGTATTTTTCGGTAACTGTATTATTTTCCTAATTAAATATATACCTATGTGTTCACACTTTCCATCATCAAAGCCATTTCTTGTATGAAATCACAAAATCCCTGTTCCACGACATCCAATAACCATCACAATAACAATCAAAGATCAACTTAATTAATTGAAAAATGAATCATGCCATAAATGAAACTCCTTTCATCGTCATCATCAGTGAGGAGACTCAATAATCCGGCAAGGAGACTCATCATCATCTTCTGTTTCCTTTATCTGATAAAACTAAATGATACACAACACACTTAACCATCATCTACAATCTCTCAAACTCAAATCTAAACAAATTTCATCTTCGATCAAATAAAAAAACATGGATTTCAGATTGTTGAGGATGTGTTGCGCAGAAAGAGATTTGGGATTGAGAATGGGGACTTAGGTTTTATTGAAATGGGTGTAAACCATTATTGCCGAATCACATCAATGTTTGTTGAAGTGGTGGAACCAGAATTGGAGTCGAAAACTCAGGTTCCACAAAATTTGGAACCAGAATCGACCTTGTGAGGACTGGTTCTAGGTAGGAATCGAAACCAACATCCCGGGTACTTGTTGGTTTCGGTTCTACCCTAAAATCTTGCTTACCCTTACTTTCCCCTACCCCATCCACTGTCAACGAACCCCCTCTCACCCATCGACATCGAATCCGTACCGAAGTGCACAAACAACCGATTGACACCCCTTTGCAAACCCGTGTGTCAATCCTCTACAACTTGCAAGTCCCACTTGTATATCATATTTGGCTGAAGAAGCATTGGCTAGGTAAGAGTTCTTATCTTCTTGGGACTCCATGGACCAAAATTTTCTTTCATTATATGGGCAATACCTATCTGCTTTAGTAGA